GCTGCCTTGATCAGAAGCAATGCTTGTCCGACCAGCGCGAGCACGCATTGTAGCGTTCCAATCGGGAGACTCGAGAAACGTGTGGAGAATAGGAGCACGCCGCAGAATGGGATGGAGGGTTATGCGTTTTAGGAAGCGCTGGAGAGAATATGCCCTGCGGTTTGTGAAGTCTGGCCCGAACCGATCGCCTCGAACATACTCCATACGCTGTTTGTCGGGTAGCGGCGGGACCGCACATGCTGGGTAATCCTTGGATAGGGTCTTGGAGAGAAATAGGAAGTCGGTAAAGCGTCGGCGGGAGGTGAATGTGGGCTTCTGGAAGGAAGGAAACGTTGACTATGCACGGGTTGTAGGTTAGCGACGGGGCGACTCTCGCATCTCTTGCGGTTGCGGCAGGCTCACATTTGTCGTTATTAGATATGATACAAAGGCGTCCTTGGTGCCGTCGCTTTCCTTGCGCGGCTCCGAGACAGTACACTCAAGTATGTCGCCGGATAGGCCGGGATCTTGGCGCTGTAGAAGTTGGCCATGGTGTTGGTCATCGCTAGTAGGGAGCTCAGCTTCTATGTTCGACATAGAACCGCTTGATGATTCAATGGCGTCGGCGCCATTGTTCCCCATCTGCCACGAGATACTGGAGAAGCTGTCCTGGTTAATGACTGCCATTGTTGGGGGCCTGGAAGACGTGCACCGAGCTGCGCCACGATCAGACGGTATCGTCGCTTCTGCACAAGAGAATTAGGCACTCTAATTCTAATGTATAGCACTTTCACATAGGCGTCACATCGGCGACTGATCGATTAATGGGATGGATAATACTATGAGCGTTGTTGTGTTGGTTTCCGCGGTGGACGGGCTGGGACGTCGGCTGTGGTAAGGCGATGAGTTGCGATGAGAAGTGGGATGCATGGGTAAAGATAGTTTGACTGGTTGGGATTGGTGAGGGAATGTGCTGAAGTACCGGCTACGCAGCCTACGTCACGCCCCCCTACATGCATGGATCTCGAATCTATTCGGTAACTAACCAATATATCTCCATACCGGGGCCTGCACAGGCAGCAACGTATTGTTCGGCCGGCAACGTTGCCAATTGCTAAGCCACCACTACACACGGACTACACGCCTATAATTAGGCACCGTTGGTGATGTGTTGGGGGTCAGATGGCCGAGCAGTGCGGTGAGATGTTAATAATACCGTCTTTCAACAACAGCGTCACGAAAGAATACGATGTTCAACCGATGTTACGAGCTGCGGCAATTATAACCTTAAAAACTATCACTTTTCCGCCAGGATACAGATCGGCCCCAACCCTACATACGTGCCAGCACCCACATAAGATGCCTTCTATCTAGACACATTACAGCTCCTATACCTAACCTACCTGGCAGGTATCATCATGTCTCATGCTTTCAGTACGAAGCTCATATCATCCCTATTATCATCAATCACCCGTCCCCATTCCAACAACAGCCTAAACATGTACACCTCCATATCTTCCTTCCTGAGCGCCTTCTCAGCCCATTTGCGACCTTGGCTAGCGATCCATTTTGCGTCCTCTGTTCGTCCTGGCGTTATCTGCTCCCGCCCATTCAGTGTACCGTGACCATCCAATCCAATGAAGTACGACATCGTGCTATGTAAAGCATGATATCGTAGATCAACGGGTATGAAATGTACCCATGGCATCAGGCGTTCTGTGAACCATTGCTGAAAGATGGACGCGAGGACCGGCACGCTGTTTGATCCCATAACCTGTAGTAGATCTGGAGGTGGCCCGTCACTGGCGTCGAGCAGCATCACATAGCGACTATCCACCTCGGTGATCGGCGGCTCCAATCCGAACTCAGCGCGTATGAGCTCGCAGTTAACGTCTTGACAATCCTCAGACGGGTTAGTCAGTGCAACACGGAACGGCAAAATACTATTGCCCTCAGTAGTATGTACATCCTCGTACCGAAATCTACTGTTTTGATCCGATCCTATTCCCAATAACATTGGAATCTTGTCCGCTGCCGTGGCGTTCCGAACAAGGTGCACCAAGCGCAACCGATGACTACCATGAAGTGATTCACGAGTTACCACTGGGATGTCCGCAACATCGCTCTGCCACAGAAGAGTATCCTGCTTTTGGACAAATGTTTTGCCGTCGTACTTTTCTTCTAATACAGGCCGTGGGAAAGGCATGAGAATATCACTGAAGCTAGACGTTTTCGACCCACTGAAAAGTGGCAGTAAATCCTGATATAGCTCGGTTTGATAAGGAGTAATGTGAAAATCGTGGAGATTGAAGAGATCGGGCTGATGGCAGGGGTCAAGCGCCTTTTCCCAATTCTCAAGGAATTGCATCTTGCTGTGAGGGCGGGCGCATGAAGCACAGAAGTTTTTTACATCCCAATTGACACCGTTGCGACTTGGAGTCCCCGGCGGGCAAGCAAGTGCCTGGAGTTGTCGAAATTGAGATGCGGGAATATAGGGGTAGATCGAGCTCGTTGGCCCTGTCCGTGTGGTGATACCGATATTATTTTCCGCGAAGGAATCATGACCATCGCGTTTGACCAGCCGATCTGGCATCATCTGAAAGCCTGATTGCTTTGCTATTGTCCTTAACTGGTTCATCTCATTCCAAGGGACCAGAATTTTTGGCCGTTCTTTTAAGTTGATGGCAATTTCCATTGCTGGGAGATGCTCCACAAAGGGGGAGATCAGGGCTATGATCCCATCAAGTGTATCTCGTTGCGAAGGATCGGCGGGGCCATTGTGGGATGCCCTGCCATCTGCAATGGTAATGATGCCAATGTTGGGCTGACTCTTGAGAAACTCCAGGCCATCCCGAATGAGTTGGGGCCGTAGACCCCAGAAGGGCAATATATCCCTCTCAATCTGATCAAACTTGTCAATGATGACAGACTTCTTTTGCCGAGCGAACTCGAACCACTTGTCGAAATAGCGTGGCGGCTTACGGCCATGATGCCTTTCCTCGTACTCATTGACTGCAGTTTTCAGAGTCGTACTGACTGTTGCATGCCGCAACCATCGATCAGCTTCCACTCGGTTCTGGAACACAAGCTCGTCAACAGGGTGATGGGCGAGCGTTTTTGGTGTCGAGACGACGTAGATAACTGAGGAAACCAGGACAACAAGGAGCAATAGCAAAAAGAACACACGCCTTATAAACACAATTGAGCGCATATTGCTGGTGTATGCGAAAATGGCAAACCCGAGTGAAAGAGTGCCGGATGCAAGTAGCGGCTGCGCCGCGGATGTTTGCTGGTAGGTGCCAACCAACAGCACATTACTAACACCAGCCAATATCCCAGATGCAAAGGTCGCGATGCCGATTGGCTCAAGGGGTGATTTATCACATGACATTAGGCACGTCGATATAACCAGAGTGGTCACAACTACGCCAGTGCTTAGAATGTCAAAAATATAGAGAGAGTTGATACCTCTTGAGAATTGACGCTGGACGGCCTCGTTGTGTGGTGAGAGCCGCGTTACTAATAAGGGAAGGCAGGTTGCAAATGATGTGATCAATAAAATGACACCAAGCGTCCGTAATCGACTCCTAGTCGTTCGCGCCCAGGAGAGCACCCTCCACAGGAGGATAATGATAGTTGCATCTGCAAAAAGACCGGCCCACTGAGAGGTCACCACGAGTGATCCTTTGTCTGCCAAAGAAGAACAGAAATAAGTAGAGCGGATCGTACAATGACCAGTCAAGAATGCCCCATAACTGAGAACAGCTGAACCGATGAGTAGGATGAAGGGTGAGCCTGCCAGCCAGATTTTGAGGTCATCTAGTTGGTTTTTCCACATGTCTTCGGGCTCATCTAGCTCGACTAGTGGTGGGCGATATGAGAAGAATTTGTAGGTTGCCAATAACAACAACAAAAATGCCTGTATACAAGGAACCCCTTGTTAGAGACCGGCTAGATAGATAACCTAGCAGCGGCAAACTCACCTCGACATTTGCATTGGAACACTGGAAATCACGCAGAACTGTATAAGAAAACTCCAGTCTAAGAATGATGAGGACGATAATACAAGGCACGTAAATTCGACGTGGCCTAGGCGGCAAGGATGACGACGATGCCTTCAGGACGGCGTCGGAGTCTGTCAACGACGTCAATTGTTATCGCAGCAGAGAGGAACGGACAAACAAACCAAATCTTCCGTCGGTTCCTGGGAGCCATTTCGAAAAGAAACTCGATGCAAACGCTAATGAGCCGGAAACGAGCAAAAGGAGAAACGATGAGAGGCGAGGTTGGCCTGAGCAGGCCGGTCAGTACCCATGTGTTTCCCGTCGGCGGCAGGGGTGGAACAAATAAATCGTACTGATTAATGTGTGTCTGTTCAATGAGTAGGATAGCCACATAAACGAAGCCAGGAACCTTGGCTCACGTTAGTGGGATTGCTCATTGGCCTCATTGATACCAGGTGCTGTCAGGGCTTTTCTGGAGTTGGGCGCGACTCACCAGATGCCCGTTGATCGCGTGCCGTTATCGGGAGCCATCGAGAGAGCATCGGCAGTACGTATGGCGACCCCAGGGACTCGGGTGAGTTGTACGAGAAGTTGTGAATTCACATTGTCTGACGGGCTTATTAGTTGGGAGTTGCCTGTTGGATGCCCCTTGGGTCTATTTTAATCCAGCGCCATATCGAAAAAAACGACTTGGACCTGTAAGTCTTACGCTGTCTGTGTACGAAGTACATACGCAGCGAGATTGTGTGGAAGGGTACATAGAGGATGACGGGTACGCTATGGAGACGTAAATACAGTTAACATAAAACTTGCGAACTGTAGAAGTTACTAACGAGAACACGCGAAAAGGAAGAGTGGACACGCACGTTAGTGAGCGCGTTCGGTAATTATAGGCTTAAAACACAGTGTGGATTGTGTGAATACTTAATGGGGGTAGCGCGTGGCTAACGGCCTGCGTGCGATGAACGGAAACTGGCCGGTGGATTTGAGGCCGTTAGAGTTCTGGCCGGACATGTCGGGCGAATGGTCTAGGGGTATGATACTCCCTTCGCATTGTCCCGAAGCTGCTTCGGGATTCCACTTGTGACTGGGAGGGGTCCGGGGTTCAATTCCCCGTTCGTCCATTCTTTTGCACTTTGGTCTGTCACTGTCTTTTTGTCCTTGATTCCATATGCCTCGCTTATTACCATCTGCTTTCAATCTTGGCATTACTGTACGGAACGTCCTACCTACCAACACTCACGGCGAGCGAGGCCAACAATTGTGCGATAGGAACCTGGATGGCAACCTGGATGGCTTACGTACGGTGTACATAAGAGTAAAGATTTGTCACCTGGTATAGACGGGTTGTTCCTCCTACCAGCGCAGTATTTTGGTTGTCCATCACAGGTACCTTACGCTACTATGCCTGTACGATATACGCAGATACCCAGGCAGCACTGCTCATATATCAATGGGAGCAACGCCCGCGATCACTTCTCACAGCTTGATTTCCCGTCTCTCTATTGTTTGTTCAACGGCCTCGCTCCGGATTCCCTATCCCACTTAGTAAGCATGTCCAACACATAACGTTATACATGCTGCATTCATTCATATCATAATGCATCTGGTAGGTTTTCGGGATCCCTTTACCTATGAGCCTGCCGACTAAGCTACGGCAGACAAGATGGAACGGGCCGTGGACTCGCAAGGCAGTAGTATAATTGCCGGCTAGAGGTAGAGAACCGCCCATACAGGGATATCGCACGGGTGGGGTATGAAGGCTAATGGAGCCGATATGAAGACGAGAGGTCGACTACTCCTGTCACAAAATGATTTGGCGGGGGCACGAATATTGCTCTCATAGCCGAGAGCCTTCCGAGCCCGAGATCACCACTGGTAACCGGAGATAAAAGCGTGCTTCGGTATCGTCCAAGTCAGCGAACACACCAAGGGAAACGCAACGAAGGTCGAATAGAGTGCTCCCAAGCCGGTACCCGATGACTCGAGGACTAGCAACTGCCCGTCGCAAGCAATCGCCCTCATGTGCGAGGTATTTGTCTACGACACATCCAAACTTTCGCGCAGTGGGTTTGTTCGACGTTACAGATATGCGGGCGATACGACCTTATACTGACACTGCCGCCTTGTTGCGGTCTTGTGACTTATCTGCTCGAAATTAAGACCGCATAACGCCCTTCCCTATGGAAGGTCAACCGCCAGTGTCTCGAGTCGTCAGCTACGATATGTTTTCGGGGGATTGTGATGCCGTCTCGCGTTGTTGGAAGAAACCCGAGTAAGCGGACACGTACACCGATGGTATGCGTCATAACCCTTGCGAAGAACTATCATAACGAGGAAATGAGCCTCTGTTCGAAGGCACGCAGGAAAAGGCCGTATGCGCGACTAAGTACTGGATATGGGGAAAAGGTACCCGGCGGTATCAACAGTAGTCTTGGACAACAATGCGAACGCAGAAACTCTCCGCGGCAGAGGGGGGTTTGTGGTAGACCGGGCGACGGCCATTGACGGCTTGGGGAAGATGCTGTCGAAAAAAAGAAGTACGTGCCAAGAGGTGGATGATACGCAGCTGGAGGCGCAGGGACGATCGACGGGCTCCCCCGACGCCATAGAGAAACCATCGAATCCTAGTGCGCACCTTTCCCGTCAACATAGGGCTGGTGACTGTACAGTGTTGTGATGTACCGTACCGTACAGTCAGCTCGGTTCTTGGCGGCAGCGCAGTCTGCAAAGGATGGGTCGATTTCGATTCCTTAGGAGCTGCGTGGAGAACCGTAAGGCCTTTGCCTTATGGTCTGGCCTGCAGTCTTGCTCGAGGCTAAACACATCGACCACGAGACCGTTAATGCTGGACGAGCTTCTGGGTGACCGTGCCAAACAGGCTCTGGGGTAAACTTGCGGTACAGTACAAAGGTGCGCAGTTAATGGACCACCAAGCACGGAATATTAACTGCTATTGGTACGTATTACGGTTCTCACTCGATAGGGTTTGGCGAGGGATGCCTTGGCTTACGTGAGCTCATGGATGGCGAATATTCAATGGTACTACAGACTACGATGGCTTTTGAAGAGTCTTTTACTCCTTGCTACCTATGTTAGTCTGTATCACCTATGCATCAGTTCAACAACAAGGTCGTTCTACGAAGTATATACGAAGCGCTTAGGAACGAAAGCTGCTGAGGTAACCTTGGGGTGAGGCGAAGCCAACCAACTCAAGACATCGTCTGACTTACACTAGTTACAGACTGTATCTAGAAATTATGTAGGTATGTACTTCGTACACACAGTTATTACTAGCAGGAGCTGACTACTAAACTATGTAATGGGTAACGATAGACAATTGGAGTCGCTATTCTTACCGCAATGCACTTGCTTGAGGCCGCGCGTTTAATTGGGCAACTTGCCGTTATCCCGGCTGGAGGATTGTTTATTCGGAGGGGGTATTTACTGTACCTACTTGCCAGAATCTAAAGGCGATTTTGGCAAGTTAACGAGTTTCGAATACCGACTAGGAACTTTACAAAGTGATTGATCTGTAGTAAATGTACGGAGTCCGGAATACCTGCCTCGGAGGTGTTGATAACTGGTTTACGCTACGTTATTTCTTTTCCTGTGAATATTATCATTTGCGTACAGACTGCATGCTGTATACCACGACATGGCACGGCATGTAACGGCATCTTCATGATGGGGTCTGAAAGTCAAGGAGCATGTTATGTAAAGTGGCCTAAACTACCGGTAACTTATCCAGTTATAGAAGGCCGAACTTTTAAGCTTATTCGCACATCTCAAATAGGTACGCCGCGCCTAACCAGTTCGTTCTTCCTGTCTACCAAGTTTAGAGGAGTATGAACCGGCCCTAGTTAGTGCTAAGTAACTCGGTGAACACGTTAAGGGAATAGTTACAAGAGGAATCTTATCGATCTAACTGAACTACCTGAGAATTACAGTCTGTATTCCGTACGGACTACGGTACGCAGTACACAACATCAATACACCCTCTGCGTTATCTAGGTACCGGTGGCGGTGCTCAGTACTGCGTTGGGCCCAACTGAGCATTTGACCTAACATCGCATCGTGCCGACATTGCGCCCACCGTCAACATCGTCATAGTGTACCGACAACGCTACAGCACTCCAACTGTCAATTTCGCCTACTTAGTTAGTTTACCAACGTCGCTTTCGTGCGCCAGCATCGCCTTAATACGTACTTAGCAGTGCCTAACTAGCCGATAGCGGTGGGGCGTGGCACGGGTACGCTAAATAGACATGGTTGTTGTGCGGCCGTTCAAGCCGGAGGCGAGGTAGGTTTTACAATTGATGCGGGGAGCTTTATGAAGTATGGTTCTCAGAATCTAAGTAGTTATGCGTTATCAGTCACAGGAATGCAACCCATTAACACGGGATTTCCCCCGGCAGGCTTGTGCTTGGCAGTGAGTTGCAGAGAAGTCGGGCGTTACGACGGTCAGCACCGTTATGCGCTCGACGTCTACAATACCTATTGTCACCCAACTTATGTGCTTAGCATGGGAAAATCTCAATCTTGAGTTGTCGGGTGTGGAAGGGACCAAGTAATTCAAAATTGACAAATCTCGCAAATCTCGCAAATCTCAACAGCTGGGACCATTGCTGGCCTGAAGCCGGCTAACCTCATTTCAGCCCGGTATCCTTGGCATCCGATGTCAGGCTGTCAGCTCGCTAGCCTAGCGTGGTGTCCCTGCTTTGGTTCAGGGGCCGTAGTGTGGACATAATGCCGGTAGCTGGCGATTCTATAGAGTACATATACGGATGTAGCATGTATTATCACTGTACTTCGTACCCGCGGACGAATCTACCTCGGTCTTCGCGTCGAGATCGTCTCTGAAAGACCAAGAGTATGTGTTGTTATATCCAGGTGTGGTACAACGCTCACGCCGGGTCGATATCGTCGATGTCGTCGACGCCATCGAATTCAAGGCTTAGCTCTCTACATATTCTATAACCATGAGACTCGTTTAAGAGAAGGATCCGAGAGCATACTGAGTAGGTACACTCTTATACCCTGTAACCCGACCCTCCCCGGTGCAGCACGGAGGCGTCTCGCATGCATGCGCAGAAGGCAGGCCAAGACACGATGCGCATCTTGATTAAAGTGCTGTCGCCAGGGGGTGCGCTCCGCTACGGTACGTCTGGATCCGGAATGCCCATGTGTAGGCGACGCTACTATTACTCGGCACTAGTGCGCGAGGAGGAGGCTAAATGTGCTATTTTGGGTGGGATGCGCACGCTCAACCCTGGTTATCATCCCATGTTGACGAAATACTATGTACAAGATCGGTGAAGATGGCTTGCTTACATGGCGCTGCCGTCTACGAAGTACGCAATGGGCAGGGTGAGCAGAGCCGGCAAGCAAGGCCAGGCTGAATTACTGTATAAAAGGTATGGCAAATGCTACACTCCGGTCTTGTTCCCAGTTGCTAGCCTCACCATTCATTCATTCCTCTCTGTTAATTTCGCTTCTCTAACTGCTATTTCTCCATTGATTTCCTATTTCTCCCGCGCTTCTCTTCCAAAATGAAGTTCACTGGTCTCCTTTCTACTCTGGCTCTCGCCAGTACGGCGGTTGCTGCTCCCGGCGGCAAGAAGGCGTCGTGCAGTGCTGAAAATACCAATGTTACGCTCCCTACCACCACCATTGCCGGCGTCGAGGTTGTTTGGACCAAGATTGTTCAGGATGCCGCTGAGCTCGTGAAGGAGTTCATTCCTCTCCAGCCTTACCTCTACAACCACGTCATGCGCACATGGTTGCTTGGTTCTGCTGCCTTCAACAACAACGCCACTCTCAAGGCAAGCGTTGACCTCGAGGTTCACGCCCTTGGTTCTCTCCTCCACGACATGGCCTGGGACCGTAAGTATAATAATTCTTGAAGTAGTAATTAAGTCCTTTTATCTAATGCGTTTCCCCCTCCAGAGCGCCCCAACAGCCCTTACAACAGTCACAAGTACCGCTTCGAGGTTGACAGTGGTGCCGCTGCCATCAACTTCATCAAGAACCACCCCGATGGATCCAAATGGGACGCCAACCGTATCGAGCGGGTGTACGACGGTATCTCCCTACAGGCCATCATCGGTGTCGCCGACTTCAA